TTCATCTTCATCTTCATCTTCATCTTCATCTTCATCTTCATCTTCATATTCACCTTCGTCTTCATATTTATCTTTTCCTTTATCCTGATCTATATCTTCATTCTTTTCTCCATTTACGTATTTACCCCCACCATTGTTATTAGGTTAGGTAGTTAAATTTTCCTTCCTCTTTTTCTTTATATTGTTTCTTTAGTGATATCATGTCCTGTGTTGAAATTGGGTGTGGTGAGTTGCAGTGTGGTGGAATTGGGTGTGGGAGTTACGGTGTTATGAATTCAGGTGTGGTGGTCTTAAGAGGTGTGGTGAATTTAGTTGTGGTGAGTTGAGGTGTGGTGAATTAAGGTGTGGTGAGAAAGTTGAGGTGTGGTGAATTAAGGTGTGGTAGATTAAGGTGTGGTGAGTTAAGATGTGGTGAGAAAGTTGGGGTGTGGTGAGTTGAGGTGTGGTGAATTAAAGTGTGGTGGATTTAGGTGTGGTGAATTAAGGTGTGGTGAATTAAGGTGTGGTGAATTAAGGTGTGGTGAATTTAGGTGTGGGGAGTGAAGTAGTGGTGGATTTAGGTGTGGGGAGTTAAGGTGTGGTGAATTATTGTGTAGCGAACTCAGGTGGAGTAAGTTTTTAAGCGGAGGTGAGATGAGTTGAGGTGAGTTAAATTAAGTTAAGGGGTTAAGTTAAGATAAGTTATCTTTATCCTTATCTTCATATTCATCTTCATCTTCCTCGTCTTGGTCTTCATCTTCTTCTACATCTTTATCCTTTCCTTTATCCTGATCTAAATATGTCCATTCTTTTCTTCATTTACATATTCACCTCCTCCATTGTTATTAGGTAAGGTATTTAAATTTTCCTTCCTCTTTGTCTTCATATTTAGGTTTCTTTACTTTTATTTTAATTTCTGTATTTATCCCTTTCTTCTTCTCCATACTCAAAATTATCTTCATCCTTGTTTGAGGCTAATCTATTCATGTACATACATACATACATCTTATTCCTAAACTGCTGCTTAGCACGTTTCTTTAATTCACTATCAATATTAAAGCATACATTTAGGAGGCATTTCCGCCCCAACCATGTACATGTATGGCATTGGTATTGGTGTGACTTTTGAATTGATTTTTTCGCTCTATTTTAAACTAATTTGAAATTTTAAAAATTGCCTGCACATCAGCATCAAAATACCTTTCTAATGATATATAATTGTTTATACCTTAGAAGTACAGTTTAGCCGTAAAAGGGGTGTAAAGGAAACATGATTGCCTATTTATATAATTGATTTGTAATGCCTTTTCGAACCGCTCATACATAAGTATTTATTTTTACTTTTCCACGTCTATTTCGCATAATTGTTTTGCTGCACAACAAATAGGCCACCAGAAGCCTAAACTTCGAAGAAGTGTCAACCTGTAAGTGAACGCATATTGTTGATTTATAATATATACTATAAACACATATATAGATATGCATACATAAACAATATGTATTCGTTGTACATAAGCTCGTCCATATATTTCCTCATTTACGTCTGCATATTTATTGTACACTGAACCAAAAATCCATATCTGGATCAAAGAAAAACTTTCCTTACTTTAAGGTCGAAAATTCTTCCGAATGAGTAAAAAATTCTCCCGAATGCGTAATTTTTCTTTGGAATGTGTAAAAACGTACACGAAAATAAGGAAGCGTGGATGTAATCTATCATTTTGAAGAAATATTGGGCATGAAAAGAGGACAAAACTTCTTTAGTGCTGTTTCGTTCCCATTTTTCTTCATTTTGATTGCTGTTTTTCTTCAATTAAGAGAAGTTTTTTTTTGGGTGTATGTGTACATTAGACTGCATCACTCCCCATACAAACAAAAAAACCGGTACGGGTTTTCCACCGGAATTATAAAATATATTATATTTTAATGGCCTTATTCATAAAAAATAAAGTAGCTTTAAAAAAGGTTTATAAACTGAAAAATGTATGAAAACGTCATTTTATAAAGCTCTTTAAACCTACTTTATTTTTTATGAATAAGGCCATAAGACTTTCACCGAAATATTTCGGAAAAATATTAAGATCTATATGAGCAGAACCGAATTGAAAATACCTCCAAAAATTTAGTTTTCTCTGAATAAAATAAATTTTTTGCAAAAATTCACTATAGATGACAAAACAGTTTAAGCTTAAAAAATTTGCATAGAAATATTAAAAAAAATCCAAGTGAATCGTAATAATGAGACGTTTGATCCTGTTTTTGGACTTTTTTCAAATACTGGTTTAAAAAAAAATGAATATTTCAGCCTACACTTTACCGATTTAGACTTATGAGGTATCATTGGAAACGAATTTTCTCAAATGGTTTAGATTACTTACACCAGGCTGAGGTTGACCGACCCAGTCGACTAAATTTACATTTCGCAAAATAGACTCTTATTGTACTTATCTTAATTTTTGAGTCTGGGGAGAGTTCTCGATCTTCTCTAACTCGCAAAAGAAGTTTGAAG